CTCTTTCTCCAGTGCTGCCTGCTGCCTTCCACACTGTTCAGCAGATCTGAAAAGGAGGCAGTCATCCTCACTCTTTCTTTCCCTCATCATCATTTCCTGCCATCAGTAAGTGATCCCTATAACTTTCCTATTAAATCTCTAGCAAATTCAGCTCTCCCCTTTTATAGTCTATGTCATCATTATCATCATCATCATCATCACCATCACCATCATCACCATCATCATCATCACCGTCGCCATCATCACCATCATCTTTCCTGGACTTCTGCAATTGCTTTGCCTCTTGTCTCCCTCTTGTCCCCTCCAAGCCATTCTTCATACTGCAGCAAGAATGATCTTGAAACATGGTGGCTGAATCCCCAGGTCCTTGACATTTTCCAGGAAACCTTGCATGTGCCATCCTTCCTATCTCCTTGGCCTCAGATCAGATCACTCTCCCCCAACACTTACACTCCATGCATGTCAGCCTTCCTTTAGTTCCTCTAGCTCCCGACATTCCTTTGGCTTCCTGCTTTCACATGTTTCCCTCTGCCTGGAATGCTCCCGTTAGAGGAGCATAAATTATGAGTAACTCCAGGCCTCAGCTGTCTCATCTATAAAATGGGGATAAAATAACTTTAGATCAGGGTTGTTAATACTATGAAATACAAGTATTATATATTCAATAAGCTTTAATTTCCCTAAATATGTTCAAATATTTTTAGATATCTTCTAATAATCTTTATATTAAAACATATTGAATAATATATTCCTTCCCACCATTTCACCAGTCGTAATTTCATGGACTCTCAAAGTTAGATGTGTCCCTTAAAGAAACTGTTTATCTCATTTCAGAAATTCATTAAAATTTTCACAAATCTTGTTGTGAAGTATTCTTGCAATTTTTAATTGCTGGCTAGTTAACAATATCCTTCAGAATGTTGCATCTTTCCAAAAATGTTCCTGTTGGATAGCTATAATTTTCAAAACGACTACTTTGTTCTACAATCCATCAATGAGTTAGTAAAAACAATGAATGGAATTTTCACATTTTTGTGGGCCCTGACAGGAAAAAAAAAAAAAAAAGATTACAAATAAATGAGCAAGTAAAGGAGCATTAATTAGCATCGAATTTGTAATAGCAGAGTTCAGTGCTCAATAATTTGAAAATTAATTGAACTTTTATGTTGATGTATAAGGTAAAAACATAGCCAAGTTCTTGTTGAGAAAAGATTAATATTACCTTAGTAAAAACTCTCAAGACTACTAATTTGTTGAAGAAATAAATGTATATTGTATAAAGGTTATTAGTAGTATAATCCAGCAAGAAGGATGTTATAGTATCATGTATGTGAAATATGGAAATGGAAAAAGACAGACAGACAGAGAGGGGAGAGAGAGAGTGAAGGGAGAAATTGTGAGCAAATGTTGGGAAATGAATAATAGGGAATTCAGGATTAAGAGGATCCATGACATGTTTATATCCATCTTGCAACTTCTTTATACATTTGAATTTATTTCAGAATGACATTTATGGAATCTGGATGCAGACTATTCTTTTAACCTTTCCATAAGTATAAAATTATTACATAATTTTTAAAAATTGCCTTTTGTCCCTGGAGCACCTTCATACATGTCCCAATTTTCTCTACAGCACACCCTATTGCTTACTATACAGTTGACCCTGGAACAACAGGGATGATAGGGGTGCCAACTTCCCACACAGTCGAAAATCCACCTATAACTTTTAATATTTTTTAAAGATTTATTTATTTATTTGAGAGAGAGCGAGCGAGTGCATGAGCAGGGGAGAGACAGGGGAGAGGCAGGCTCCTCGCTGAACATGGAGCCCAATGCAGGGCATGATCTCATGACCCTGAGATCATGACTTGAGTCAAAACCAAGAAGCGGATGCTTAACCAACTGAGCCACCCAGGCGCCTGTCCACCTACAACTTTTGACTCCCCCAAAACTTAACTATTAATAGCCTACTGATAAGTGGAAGCCTTACCAATAACATAAACAGTCATTAACACATATTTTGTATATTATTTTTATTATATACTGTATTCTTATGATAAATTAACCTAGAGAAAAGACAATGTTATTAGGAAAATCATAAGGAAGAGAAAACACATTTATACTACTGTACTGTATTTATCAAAATAAAGCCACATGTAGGTAGACACAGTTCAAAACAAACTCATGTTGTTCAAAGGTCAGCTGTACTATATGATGTTTTAATTTATTATTATCTGTTTCCCCCCATTAGAATGTAAGTTTGTGAGGCTGAGATTTTTTTTTTTTTCATTTTATTCGCAGCTGTACACCCTGGATCTTAAACAAAGCTTCAACACAATAGGCACTCAAAAACATTTTTGAATGAATGAATGTTTGAATGAATGAATGGATAAATGAATCTATAATATGGTGGTACTGAGGATCAGCATAATGTATTTACATTATACACACATGTAAGGCACTTAGCACAGTGTCTTAAGTGCTTGATAAATATGAGTTGCTTTTACTGAGTAGTTCAGGTGGGTTAGATTTCCTGCTGTGTGGTGATAAGAGATGAGGCTGAGGCCAGGGACAAGGGCCACATAAGGAAGGGACACATGGCTCATCGTAAGAAACTTATACTTTATTCCATAACAAGTGAGGAGTGGTTTATTCGGATTTGTTTACATGAATTTCCCTGTTATATGTTGAATTGTTTCCCACAAAATTCATGTGTCAAAGTCTTAATCCCTAGTACCTTATTCTGGAGATAGGGTTTGACCTTATTTGACCTTATTCTGGAGATAGGGTCAAAATGAAGTTATTAGGGTAGTCATAATACAATGTGACTGATGTTATTGTAAAAAAGAATATTTGGAGATGGACTTATGTAACAAAGAATGTCATGTGACCGTGACAAAGGCCATCTCCAGACCAAAGAGAGAGATCTGGAATGGACTGTCTCTCATAGCCCTCAGATGGAACCTTGATTTCAGAGTTAGCCTCCTGAACCATAAGGCAACAGATTTCCATTTTTTAAGGCACCCAGTTAGTTCAATTATGTTAGGGCATCTCTAGAAAACTAGCACAATCCTTTTGGCCATCATTTGGGGATAAATGGGAGGCATGCTTGACTAAAGCAGGGCAAGCCACTTAACCCTTCTGAGCTCCAGTTTCTTCATCTATAAACTGGACATAAGGCCTGATAAGCAAACCTCATGATTCTACATCAAAGACAACCTGTGAAAATGTGTAAGAGAAATTGATGATAAATAGAAAGGAATATGAATAGGGCACATAAGGCACAATACGTGTCTTCTAAATACATAGGCTTTTTTTTTTTTTAATCCATTAGAGCTTCTCCGAATATTCATCACAAGTAACTCTCTCTTATCTAGAGGAAAATATTGTCAATAGCAATTCAGCCACCCTTTTCCTGAGAAAAATTTCCCACCAGGGTATCATCTCCAGTTCTGAGTGGACACATCAGTGAAATGTGATACGGACAAAGAATGAAATCTCTATGGTCAACATGGCATTTTTCTCCCACAGAACCAGTGAAATGTGAAAAAGTCTGTCCTGAAAAATAACTGGCAGGGAAAGTGGGGCCAAACACTTATCCTGCTCTTGGGTGGACACAAGTGATTGAAGGGCTTAATGGGTGAAGGAAATTGCCCCCAGGGAGACAGAATCCTTGAGAACACCTTACTGGCACTGGACAGTCTGAGACCCAGTGAACTTTGTTGTTTCATATAAATGAATGAACATGGTGCTTACAGCCTGAGGTAGCACAAATGAATCAGTAATTTAACTTCCATTTTAAATTAAACAAATGGAAAACTGTGCTTTCCAAATCTATTAGCACCTTATAATTAAGTCCTTAACAGAGGTTCAATCGTAGAATACTTCATCTTTTAAAGAAAATAAATTGTTGACAGTTCACTTTTAGTTTGAGTGTTGTTAAGTCTTTTACCTAAATTGTGACTTCATGAGAACTGAGTACTTACAGATTCTTGAAGAGACGCATTTTGTTCTTAGGTATCAGTCTGGTGTAGGATGAAGCAAGGCCACATCAGCAAGCAGAGATCTGGGCTGTGAAAGGGTCACAAAACTGTGAGCTTCTTAATGTCTAGGATTGTGTTTTATTTTGATATTCACCCCCAAAGACCCCAAATAAGAGGGCTTCATAATATTCTTTCTGCTAAATTAGATGATAGATACATATATGTGAGTAAATAGGAAATGTTAGAACGCAAATATAAGAGCAGAGGCAAAATATAAGAAAAGGGGAATTAGTCTTTGTCACTAAGTCACTTAGTCACTAAGACTTGAGTCCTAGAGGTCAATATCTTTATGTCTGAAACCTCCCCTTCACATATTATTCATGAGTCTTTCCTTACTTCTTTTCCTCCAATCACCATTCCATTAACACCTGTTCTCAAGAAGGAATCTGAAATTCATGCACAGAAAGGGGTAACTGACTGATGTGCCAACTTAATGACCATCCTAGAATCCTAACAGGAATTAAATTCTTAATTAAACTAAGCTAGACACTTTTAATTGTCACAACCCACAAATGGGGAGTGGTGGGTAGGAGGTTCTTGTGATACTGACTAGAGGCCAGGGGAAGCTGTTAAACATGCTACAATTCACAAGGCACCCCTCCCCAATAAAAAGAAGAATTACTTGAAAAATTAATGGTGATAAAGTTGATGAGGTTGAGAAATCCTGGTCTAGGGGAATAAAGCCTAAGCAGTGTAATTCTCAGCATAATTGGCAGTGAAGAGAGGAAGAAAGGATATTTGTTGAGAAGAAATCAAAGCTTGTCTTTACAAGGCATCACAGTATATAAAGATAGTGACATCCTCCTAGAGAGGCAGTCTGTGTAAGAAGCCGAATACAGTCAGATCCTTGTCTCCAGAAGGGAGGGTCAGCATGGCAGCATGATGGCTGAGCCTTCTGTGAGCATCAAAGCCAGATTTCAGAGTGTGGCAATGGTGTTGTTTCCAATCTTGGGACCCTTGGCCTCAGAGTCACGTCTCTTTCTTTTAATTTTGCAATTTCCATAGAGCAAGTCTTAGTCCTCTTCATCTCCACATTTCCCACTGCTGGTCCTTCCAGGGGTTTTGTATAAGGATCCCACATCTCTTTAAGCCCATGTTATTTCATCTGTAAAATAGGAATAAGCCACAACAATAAAAGTGATTCACTGAATGGGTTTCTGTGAAGCCTGAGACTTACCTGGGACAGAGAAAGCAGGAATTGCATCTCACTTTTAGCATTTACTACCAATTTCATTCTTTTTAAAATTTTAATTCCAGTGAGGTTAACATACAGTGTTATATTAGTTTCAGGTGTACAATACAGTGATTCAAGAGTTCCATATATTACTCAGTGCTCTTCAAGATAAGTGTACTCATAATCCCCTTCACCTATTTCACCCATCCCCCCACACCTCACCATCTGTTTGTTCTTTATAGTTAAGAGTCTGTTTTTGGTTTGTTTCTCTCCTTTTTTCACCCTCTTTGTTCATATTTTTCTTAAATTCCACATATGAGTGAAATCATATGGTACCTATCTTTTTCCGACTGGCTTATTTCACTTAGCATTATAATTTTCAGATCCATCCACGTTACAAATAACAAATTTTTTTTCTTTTTAATGGCTGAGTAATATTCCATTATATATATAAATTTATTTATCCATTCATCTACCATGGAACTTGGGCTGCTACCAGTTTGGCTATTGTAAATAATGCTGCAATAAACATGGGGGTGCATATATCCCTTTGGATTAGTGTTTTCATGTTCTTTGGGAAAATATCCACTAGTGCAATTACTGGATCAGAGAGTAGTTCTATTTTTAATTTTTTGAGGAAACTCCATGTTTTCCACAGTGACTGCACCAGTTTACATTCCCACCAACAGGGCAAGAAGGTTTCTTTTTCTCCACATCCTTGCCAATGCTTGTTGTTTCTGGTGTTTTGATTTTAGCCATTCTGACAGGTGTGAAGTGGTAGCTCATGGTGGTTGATTTGCATTTCCCTGATGATGAGTGATGCTGAGCAACCTTTCATGTGTCTGTTGGCCATCTGTATGTCTTCTTTGGAAAAATGTCTATTCATGTCTTCCGCCCATTTTTTAATTAGATTATTCATTTTCGGGGTTTGAGTTTTATAAATTCTTTATGTTTTGGATATGTCATTTGCAAATATCTTCTCCCATTCAGTAGGTTGCCTTTTAGTTTTGTTATTTATTTATTTTGCTGTGCAGCAGTTTTTCATTTTGATGTATTCCCAATAGTTTATTTTTGCTTTTGTTTCCCTTGCCTCAGGAGACATATCTAGAAGGATGTTGTTACTACCTATTTCATTCTGAACTAATTGCTCAACCCTCAATGTTCTCATTTGTGAGATGCATGTCACCTACATCAATAGGACATTGTGAGGATTTAATTCAAAAAGGGAGAAGAGCAATGAGTTCTTGTCCTTTCACATTGTAAGTGTCAAATAAATCATATTGCTGTTGGGATCATTGTTATCATTGATAATCTTTTCTATTGATTATCATTCATCGATTCACTGATTGTTTATTTGTTCATTCATTCATTTATTTGACCAACATTTGGTAAGATCTTGCCATAGTCTAGGTATTATAGAGATAAGTGCTTCAAAATGCCTCTTTCTTGGCCAAAAATACTTTGTGAAGCTGAAACTCTGAATTTGGGAGAAGCAGAGAGAGCTAGCCAATGTAGAGAATGAATGAAAGTAACCTGTGTCTGCAAGTCATCTACTCTAAGAGAGCACATCAAACTGGCTTCCTTTTAGCTCTTTTTGTCTTGTCACCTTTGTTGTTCCTTCTAGGACTTGATTCAGCACAATGTGATATTCTTTTTTAAAAATTTTATTTATTTATTTGAGAGAGGGAGAGTGGGCCAGAGAGAGAGAGAGAGAGCATACAAGCAGGGACAGACAGAGAGGGAGAAGCAGACTCCCCTGCTGAGCAGGGAGCCCAATGGGGGCTCAATCCCAGGACTCTACCGATCGAGCCACCCAGGAGCTCCATAATGTGATATTCTTTATTGCAAAAAACTTCACCATGTTAACTCAAATAAACAATCTTATTAAACCAGATTTAGGAAGAAGAATAGGGCTAGAGAAAGGGAAAAAAAAATCAGTGAAAGGACAAAATGACATTGTGCCTTAGGATGAATGGACTGTGACAATGGAAAGTATGGATTCCTGTGGTGGCCACTCCCCCCAACAACTTCCATTTTTTTTCCTAATAAAAATTATTAGATAGGTATTTGGATTTTATTGCTGTGTAACCAACAGGCACCAACAGTGACATACAACAATACACATTATTTCTCATGGTGTGGCTCAGCTTCATGCTGTTGGGTCTGCTGCCCCCCTTCTCATGCTGCATGCAGTCTATGGTGGGTGGTCAGCTGGGGCAGGCCTGACTGACATGAGTTCATTCTGGGACCCAGACTGAGGAGGCAGGGAATACCCAGAGAAAACTCTTCTGAGAGATGCCAGGAAAGAAATGGAGGCTGTTAGCTAGTCCTATGCTCCATTGACCAAGGGAGGTCACAAGGCCAAGCACAAAGGAAAGTAAAGGAAAAGTATACTCCACATTTTGGTTTTTTTTGAAACACTGGAAGCATGCATTGAAAAAAAAAAAAAAAAAGATCAAGAAATGAATAAAGAATAAGGGCCAATAAAATGACCTTGCATATAACCTATGGGCTGCAATGTCCTGGGAAATAGATTTAGGCTCAACTGATGTAACCCAATATGTCAGCCCTGACCACTACCAATTTGTTTCATTTGATCAACTGGAAATGGCAGGTTAGTTGAAAGTTTTTAAAAGAAAAGTGTTCCACCAGATTCTTCTGATCCAAAGAAATGGTCTGAGAATAATACCTTGTATTGTTATTGTTGTAGTTAAATATTTTTTCTGTATTATCTGTATTTTGCTGTATTATCTATAAAGCATAAATAATCATGCTGTCTAACTCACAGGCTATATATAGGAATTAAATAAGACCATGCATAAGCAATTCTTAGCATAGGACTTGGCATACAATAAGCACTCAATAAATATTACCCAACAATACCTCAAAAACAGAATACAAAGACTTATTTAACATATATTTCAGAAGCACCTAATATGTGTAAGACCTAATATGTGATAGATTGTGCCACAGAGAACAAACCTCTGCTTCCAAAAACCATGTACTAAAATTCGAAGGTGGAGTTAGGAAGCTCTTACCAGTCATCAGTTCTTAATGACAGGCTTTCTAACCCAATATATGCCCTCTTTTTCCCCCCTTACACTCATTTTAGTGGTCCAATCACTGGTAATCAAAACAGCCCAGGCAGAGGGACTATGCTGACCTTATTACTGACAGGAATGACAGAGGCAGAATAGGAGCACTGAAGGAGGGGAGTCAGTAAGACATCCTGGAGATGGTGGCGCAGGAAGCGCAGTAGGACTTTCATGCGCAGGTATCAGGGGAGCGGTGCTCTAGGCAGAAACATCAGCCTAGACCAAAGGCACAGTGACCCGAAGGAGCAGATGCATTCAGGACAGGGAGGGCAGTTGAGCCAGAGCACAGGAGAGGAGTCTGACCTGTTCCTCCCACGGATGTTTAAGTGACTGTTTCATATATCCCACTGATGTCACCTCAGGTTTCATCTCCCCAGTATTACCTCGCCTGATCACCTTGCCTAGTGTCGCCGGGGAAACTGTACCATATTTTTTGTTTTACAGATTTTGTAGCACTCATAGTCTCTGAAATTCTCTTGTTTGTTTGTCAGTGTGTTTATGGTCTGCTTCTACCCTGGTGTATGAGCTACATGAGAATAACACTATTGTCTCTCTTGCTCCTTCACAATTCTGTGTGATCACAAGAAGTTCACGGTAAACACCTGTTGACATAACAGATGAAGAGATGAGGAGTGTAGAAGGTAAAATAAAGCCAGAGTCAAAAATCGGAGGCTGTATAACATCAGAAGCATGAGCTATTAAAGAAATAAGTGATAAGATGGACTTCTTTAAGATGAAAAATGCTGTATAAAAGACAATGTCAGAGAATAAGAATGGAGGAAAATATTTGCAAAAAACTTATGTAATAAGGGACTGGTATCCAAGATACAAAGAACTCTTAAAACTCAAAATAAGAAAACAAACTGATTTAAAAATGGGCAAAAGGTCTTGACTGGTATCTCATCAGAGAAGATATACGGATGACAAATAAGCATATGAAAAGATGCTCCACATTGTATATTATTAGGGAAATTCAACCTAAAACAACAGTAAGATACCACTACACACCTATTATAATGGCCAAAATCCAGAACACTGACAACACCAAGTGCTGACAAGTATGTGGAGCAGCAGGGAACCTCATTCATTGCTGGTAGGAATACAAAATGATGCAACCACTTTGGAAGACGATTTGACAGTTTCTCCCAAAACTAAACATACTTTGATTCAGCAATCATACTCTTTGATATTTACCCAAAGGAGATGAAAACTTAGGTCCACACAAAAACCTGCTCATGGATGTTAACAGCAGTTTCATTCATAATTACCAAAACTTGGAAGCAACCAAGATGCCCTTCAGTGGGTGAATGGATAAATAAACTATAGTACATCCATACAATGGAATATTATTTAGTGTTAATAGAAATGAGCTATCGACCTGAAAATACATGGAGGAAACTTAAATACATGTTACCAAGCAAGAGAAGCCAATCTGAAAAAGCTACATACTATATAATACTGTATGACAGTTTGGAAAAGGCAAAGCTGTGGAGACAGTGAAAAGATCTGTGGTTGTCAGAGGCTATGGGGAGAAAGGGATGAACTGATGGAGCATGAAGGATTTGGGGGGCAGAGAAACTACTCTGTATGATGTTCTAATGGTGAGTACATGTGATATACATTTGCCAAAACCCGTAAGAATGTACACCACCAAGAGTGAATCCTGACATAAACTACGGACTCTGGGGGACAAGGAGGTCACTATAGGTTCATCATTCATAACAAGTGTACCACTCTGGTGTGAGATGTTAACAGTAGGTGGGCTGTGCTTTTGTGGGGGGAGGGAGTATCCACTCTCTATACTTTCTGCTCAATTTTGCTGTAAAACAAAAACTG